CCCTTCAACTAAGTCAAAGGCCACTCTCATCTGGTTTAGGTGATTCACTATTAAATCGCTTATGTAAATAATCTTGCAAAAGCTAAGAAAAAATAAATTTTAGTTTATCATATTCATGAAAATATATTGCCTAATTTATTTTCATTATAAATTTAAGAAAGCTATAACTCTTTTTTAGCAGGATTAGCAAAAAATCTACTCCATTTATGTTAGTGCCAAACTCAACTGAATGATGCTTTATCCATTTGGTGTTTTAAATGATTACGGAAAACACATAATTTAGTTCATTTACCAGAGCTCTACTATAAAACATTAAATATAATGAAATTTATGTATATTAATACTAGTATTTATGTAAAAGTAGTTATAAAGAAAGGGAAAAGTATATTGAAATTATTTCATGTAATTCATATGGGACACATTTTTTCGGGGGGGGGGCTTGATTTTAGTAGAAATAAAATATATCTAAGGAAACAATATATTTCCACTAAGAGGCAGTCTAAAGCCAGAATAAAAAGCTGTTGTTTGAAAGTAAATGGTATTGTGCTCTTCTTCTAATAATGGGTTAGATGCTACTTTCATTGTTGATTTTGTTGGGCAAGGAACAGGGAAATATATCAGATAAGAAAGAATTGCTACCCATTTTGTTGCATGCTTTATTTTGGTGAAGTCTAGTTGCTAAGCAGCTTCATAATCTACCTGAGACAGTCAGCCAGTATTAATATTTTATAAATTTAGGAGAACAAAGAAGACTAAGCGCATATCACATATCCTCTTCCATGGCAGCTCTATAGTTTATTATTAATGCTTGTTTCTTTATTTAAGGTTCAAAATATTACAAAGATAAAATTCTTCCAGGCTTCAGTTTTTACCTTGAGCCTAATTACAGAAATGAGAGAGTACTATGGATTGAATTGTATCTCCCCAAAAAGAAATATATTAAAGTCTTAACTCCCATATCTCAGAATGTGACCTTATTTGGAAACAGGGTCACTGCAGATATAACAAGTTAAGATGAGGAGTAGGGTGGGTCCCTAATGTAATATGACTGGGGTTCTTACAAGAACACAGCCATGTGAAGACAGAGAAACATAGGGACACTCTGTGACAATGAAGGCGGAGACTGGCATTATGCAGCTGCAAGCGAAAGGCAAAAATTACCAGCAAACCACACAGGTTGGAAGAGGCAAGGAAGGATTCCTGTTAATGGTGCAGAGGGAGCAGGGGCCTGCCTTTGGAATTCCAGTCTCAAAAATTATGAGACAATACATTTGTGTTGTTTTAAAATGAAATGAGCTATCAAGCCATGTAAAGACATAGGAATATTACTCAAATGCCTATTACTAAGTGAAATAAGACAGTATGAAAAGAATATATACTGTACTATTCCAACTATATGATACTCTGGAAAAGGCAAGACTATAGAGACAGTAAAAATATCAGTGGTTTCCAGGTGTTAGGGAAGAGGGAGGGATGAACAGGTGGAACACAGAGGGCTTTTAGAGCAGTGAAGGTATTCTATATGGCACTATAAATAGTGGGTACATGTCATTACACCTTTGTCCAAACCTATAGAATGTGCAACACCAAAAGTGAAATGTAATGTAAATTATGGGCTTTGGGTGATAATGATGTGTCAGTGTAGGTTCATTAATGTAACAAATGGACCGCTCTGATGTGGGATGATACTGGGAAGGCTGAAAGTGTGTGTGAGTAGGGAATATATGGAAACTCTATGTACTTCCTGCTCAGTTTTGTTGTCAACTTAACACAGCTCTAAAATATAAAATCCAAAAAAAGAAATAAAAAAGGTTCTACTATGCCAGGACTGGGTGTCTAAAGTCTAAGCATGTAAGGAAGATGCTAAGGGCTATGTTCACAAGATAAAAGACTAGAACAACAACAAAGCATCTGCAGCTGATTCAAGGAGATGAGCTCTGCTCTGCTTCTGGCCAAGGCAAACTAGCTTGTATCAGACCAAAATCTTGCCAAATACAATAAGAAAAGGTGAATCGAATTTATAATATGTACTGTTTGAACATCCAAAAATCACGAAGGCAGTGGTGACCTGAGGGACGAAGATCCATTACCTCAACACCTGGAGCCACTCTTCTCTTCCAGGAACTCATTAATTTGTAAGTCGTTGCTGGGAGGCTGAGTAGCCATGCAAAAGCTAAGAGGCTGGAAAACTATGCAGAGGCTTCCGCATTCTTATGAGCCCAGGGAGACAAAAATTAGTATTGAAGACCCACCATAAAGAAAAGCCCTGGCTCCCACTACAGAAGAGCTCTACTCAGTGGTATGTAGGATCCAGCTTTTACCACCTGACTGTGTGCATCTCTTCCCAGTTCCGTGTCCAGGGATGGCACATGGGTAGTTTGAAACTGATACAGTGGAAGTGTTTATACCTTGGAAATTGGCAAATGCTACAACTCAGAACACTTCCTACTGAGAGTCAGTTTTAAACACCAGCATACCACAGGCTGCATTAAAAAGGTAAGGCAAACCAGAAATAAACCAATCCTATGTACTACTATTTGTAATACCTTAAACAATAAAATACATTTTAAGAAAAAAGAAATAAACCAATCCTGAGACAGACTGAGAAACAGTTCCAAAGGTAAATCTCAGACAAATTAATCAGTCTTTACCTTAGAGCTTGGTAGAAGCAAAATTAAATCCTCCTAGAAGATTATAGTCTAGATCAGCGGTTCTCAACCTGTGGGTCGTGACCCCTTTGGGGGTCGAACGTCCCTTTCACAGGGGTCGCCTAAGACCATCGGAAAACACATATATAATTACATATTGTTTTTGTGATTAATCACTATGCTTTAATTATGTTCAATTTGTAACAATGAAATTGGGGTCACCACAACATGAGGAACTGTATTAAAGGGTCACGGCATTAGGAAGGTTCTCAACCTGGAACCACTGGTCTAGATGCTATAGTTTTTAAAATTTATTTATTTTTAATCCTCACCTGAGGATATATTTTTATTAATTTTTTATAAAGAGAGGAAGAGAGAGAGAGAGAGAGAGGGAGAAACATCAGTTGGTTGCCTACAGAACTCGCCCTGACCTGACCTGGATCAGGGATCAAACCCAAACCTGGATATCCAGACCAGGAACGAAACCCACAACCTTTTGGTGTATGGGGTGACCTTCCAACCAACGGAGCCACACTGGCCAGGGCCCTATAATTTCTTTTTTTAAATGAAAAATGCTCATCATTTACTAAAAATAATCAGATGCATAGAAAGGGAAGACAACTGGTCAAAGTCAAGGAAAACAAAAAAGAGAAACAAACCAAGACAAGGCCTACATACTGGAGAATTCAGAATGGACTTTAAGATAACTAAGTAATATATTAAAAAATACAAAAGAAAATATGAGGATTTCATTAGAAATCTCAAACCTATGAACAAGAATTAAGTTATAATTATAGAAGTTAAAAATAGACTAAAGTTTGAGATTTTATAGATAGTTTGACAGCAGGTTAAAAACAGATAACAGGCAATTAGTGAACTACAACAGTACTTCACAAACTTCGATGTATACACAAGTCACTGGAGATTCAGATTAAGATCAGCAATAGGACGAATAAATTGGGATTTACATGCAATGGAATACTATATAGCCATGAAAATGGAAAGGCAGCTACTTGTAAAAATACAGGGTGTCCCTAAAAATGTATACACACTTTAACAGCTGATAACTCAAAGTTTCATTGCTTTTCAGATTTAACTTATTTGAAATAATGGGTGAGACCAGACTAAGCTTTGAACAAAGAAAATTTATTCACTAGACTTTTTTATAGGAATACATAAAAGATAAGAGTTTATGGTACAAAACCAGCAACAGTTGACAACTGAGGGCACACAAATACTAAATGATACGATTCTTGATGTTTGCAATTCCATTGCTTCGCATTATCAGCAGTGACTGGACCAGGACAGTCATCAGTTTGAAAACAGATGTTGAGAAAAATAAATTATTCATTTCTGTAGATTCTTTTAAATTTTGAAAATGAAGTGCATGTTAATAAACACTGACTTTATAATGATTCAAAGTATGTATACAATTTTTGGGAAACCCTGTATTTTTTATCCTTGTATACAAGGAAACTTGTAAAATAAAAATGAAGAAAAGTTTGAGAAAACAAAGAATGATACTGACTTCTGTTTTACTGGGAAAAAGACACACACACATATATACATATATACATATGCATATAAACAATAAGCTTTGGGTTATACTTTTTAGTATTTATTCATGAAAGAATTTGAAGAAAATTAATGGCAGGGCACAATATTTTTTAGTTATTAGAAACAAAGTAGAAAATTTTCAGTTAAAAAATTCTACTTCCTCTTAAGGCTCTATGTTTTTCCATGTTTAGCTACTGAACGTAGAAACTAAATATTTGTTTGAGACTATTACTTTCTGGGGCATTCTGGGAAATAGTTTGCCTTTACTGGATCTCAAACTTTTTCACATTTATTTTGAGTCATCTTACTGTACTATATCTATGATCATGTAAGAATAAAATTATATTGTTTTATTGCAAAAACAACACATACCTGAGATAGATAAGTAGATAGATAGTAAACATCAAATCTATACCATGGAAAACATAGGAAAACCATAAGCATATTATGAAAGGGTCTCTTAAAAAGTAGTGTAAATATGATGCCTTCTTTGCTCACAGATATTTAAATATTGCCTGATTTTGAAACAACCAAGACTTTATTTTATAAACATAGGCAAATACTAGTAGTTAAAATGTTCTTTCCCAGTGTCACCAGAACCTTATTCTTGAAAAGAAAAAGAGGTGACACTTTAGTTGCCTAAGGTCATTTAACTTATCTAAGGTCCCCACCCTGACTCCAACTTGGAAAATTCTCCATCTTTTATAATGTAAGCCAAGTGTGCTAAGATAGGCAACACAGATGCATTTTTACAGCTATTGGCTAAATACAATACCTTACAGAAAACGATCTTACCACTTGTGCTGGAACTTGTTCCATTTTTGCAGCAGGAGTTCCTGGTCTTGGGTAAAACTGGTTAATAAAGAGGCTTGGAAATTTGTACTCTTCAACAAGTTTCACTGTTTCTTGAAAATCTTGATCTGTTTCTCCAGGAAAACCACAGATAATATCTGTAGCAATAGTTATTCCAGGAACTCTAAAAAATAATGAGACAAAAATGTAAAAACTCTATTGCAATCTATAACTACTGTACTTCCCTAATATTTTAAATACCATTGTTCCTTTTAGAATGAAATTTTACTTTCAGGAAAGAGATATTTGCAAATACTTTTAAAAGAGTCCTAAATACTAAGAATTTATGAAAAACAGTGGACCCCTGTCATCTGCAAGAGATACCCATTTTTAATTTTTTAAGATGTTTCTTTGTTTTCTATTTTAAGATACATATTCTACTATTTCTAGATTTACTTATTTTAATGTAATATTTACTGACTTCTCTATTAAGGTAAATGAGGATTTAGCTCTTTAAACTACTCTATCCCTCCCTTCACTATACAATCATGCACACTTTTTGGTGAAATTAATAGTATTTTCATTGGTATAACTGCAAAGATATTGTTCATTGCAGAGCCAACTGGTATACTATCATGAAGTTTCTTTTGTCACAATATTGAATTTTTCATAAAGTTAATAGCTGTTTCTTTTTAAAATTTTTTCCCAATATTCTAAATATTCTATGTATCTATGCTGATGTTTCCAGAAGCTCCATCAAGTCTATCAAAAACCAATACTATTTTCTAAACATTCAATATCTATAATAATAAAGGCATAATATGCAAATTGACCGAACAGCTGAACCACCATCCAGATGGCCTTCCAGATGAAGCCAGGGCTGCGAGGGCCAAGACAGTCGCTGGGGCTGCTGCCTCGGCCCAAGGCAGCTAGGGCTGCGAAGGCCTACTCTTGCACGAATTTTGTGCATCGGGCCTCTAGTATTATATAATTGACCAGTTCGATTCCACCCCCCATCCCCTCTAGAAATGCCACTCTTATTTTCTTCAAGTGTGTGTTGCATTTATAATAAAGCAGTTGTAATACTCGAATGCTACTCCTTGGTCTCCTTTTTTCAATCTAGTTTTTTTCCTGGATTCCATGTCCTCTTAATTCTTGATTATTCTATTCTCCATAATTTTGCAGGAGCATTCTTTCAGAAGTGTCATTAAAAAAGAGAGCTAACAAAATTTTGTTACTGTCCTAGGATGTCTGAACTCTCAATTCATGACTGATCGTGGCTATACATAGCACTCCAAAATGAAAAGTATTAGCCACCTGAATTTCATAATCTTCCCCCCTCCCTTTTTTTTTAAGCTGGAAAGGTTGATAAGGTGTCCAGATTTACTCTGAGGCACACTTCTTCATTTGTGCCCCACTATCTTTTTGAAAGCTTTTAGGATATTAAATTCATTCTTATTGATTTTAAATTTTATAATAGACCTTGCATTAGGTATTCAAGTTTTTGTACAGGATACAATCTAGAGAGTCATGTTCTTTAGGTCTATGTTCTTTTTAAAATCATTTCTTCTTTCTTTTTTTTAAAAAAATATATTTTTGTTGATTTCAGAGAGGAAGGGAGAGGGAAAGAGAGTTAGAAACATCAATGATGAGAGAGAATAACTCATTGGCTGCCTCCTTCATGATCCCTACAGGGGATAGAGCCTGCAACCTGGGCATGTGCCCTGACATGGCATTGACCTCCTGGTTCATAGGTTGACACTCAACCAATGAGCAACACTGGCTGGGCTAAAGCCATTTTTTTTGTCTCTGGGATGCCTCTCCTTCAAATGTTGAAATTGGTGAATTGAGTCTCTAAGCTTTTCCACTGCCATTTTCAATCTTTGTCCTTTTATTCCACTTTCTGGAAGATTTAGTTGATTTTATCTTCCAACTCTTTTATTGAAAAAATTTTAATTGAATATCATATTTTAAATTTCTCTCACTCTCCACACTTCCTTTTCAAAGCATAGCGATTTCATTTTAGAGATGTAACATATTTTCTTATTTCTGAGGATACCCAATTTTTTTTTACAGTTTTCCCTCTGCTCAATGCAATTATGTCTATTTCCTCCAGGTTTATTTTTTTATTTTTTATTTTGTCCCTCTCATTCATAGTTAAGGCTTTCCATCAATAAACAATTTTTGTTATCCTTTATTATTTAAAAGTAAATCACTAAACACTTTCCATTACAGAGTGGTTAGGTAAGCAAGCTGCCTTTGCTTTTGATAGGTCCAATGTTAGCATCTTAAAAATCATTCCTCTGTGGCTACTGAGTTTCTCAAGTATGCTACAATAGTTTATTGTGTACTAACAGTATGAGAACAACAAAATAACATCAACAGCATTCAAAATAGAATCAATAAAACAACAGGAAAAGTTTCAGATCACAGAATACCCAGCTATAAAGATTGTTCTACCACCTAAATGCAGTTCTATAAGAATGAATTGGACAGTTTATCTCACCAAGATATATTAAATATTTGGGGGTATAAGTGAGAACAAAAGAATGTAACAAGGGAAAAAATCAAATTACTGGATGCCTAATACAAGCAGCTTCATTATTCCATACCTACTTTGTATAATCCTTTGAAGCCTGTGTGAAAGAAGAATGATAAATTTATTTTAAAAAATATTTTCTTGATTCCTACTTAGTCTTATTTAGCTATCAATTTGGCTGAACTTTCATCAACAAGATAAGTTACAAAGACAGAAACTTTTCTCTGTGATGATAAATAGAAAAAGAGACAATATGCATAGAGAAAAATAAAATGGTATATTAAAAAACAATTTTTATTTTACTGTAATATAAAAACATATTTTCTTCATTAAGGGTGATTATTAAAATTATGTTGGAAAATCATAAAAACATATGCTTTTACAGTAAGCTACAGATAGTAAGACCATTTCCTATACTTATTAAAGCATGTGGAATAGAAAAATTATGTCCATTGCTTCAATTAGCTAATTTTTACACTTATAACTACTACTGAACAAAGGTAAAAGTAATGGATCACATTAGAAATGACAGAGAAGAGTCTATCTCTCCTAGGAAATTTTAAAAAAATCTTAGAAACTGTCTGTGAAATACTGCAGAAACAAAGACAATTCCTTATTGTCCTAGGCTGTGAGTTAGAATGAACTTGGCACTAGATTATGGGGTATTCCCACAGGAAAGTACCTTACTGATTTCTCCCCACCCCCCAATCCTTCTTGATCCAGGATAGTTGAGCTCAGTATTACGCAACACCTGCTTACTTTGGCTTCAAGGCCCACAGTGAAAAAGGAAAGACAAACCTTTGCACTAGTCATCATAAATGTTAAGGAAGGAAATGTCCAATGCGTGGATATATTTGATAATCTACACAACAAGTTGACTGATAACAGGGGAGAGAGCAGACCACCATGAATTAGTGAGAGACCTATGTTAGTCAGAACTTAAAACTAAAAGTAGTTTAATTGGTTTCAAAGTTTATAAGAATATAAACTGATTGCCTATAAATGTTTTCAAAGTAGAGACTGCATTTTAATATTTGATGAGGCTCATTTATTCATTAATTTTATATCTGCAAATGATGCTATATATGTTCTTAAAAATAATTCAGTTCCTTAACTGAACCAACAACAAAAAGCTCCTCATAATTACAGTGTTAATTTGCTCAGTAAATAATTCTCTACAGTATACGAGAAAATCAAATTTTGTAGTGAACCAAGTTCTAAATTACATATGCTTTAAGTGCTAAGAGGAAATTATATGAGGTGTAAAATACAATATTAATCCAAATATTTATTATGTTAATTATGACTAAATGCTGTTTTTGAGAAGCTTTGAATTTTCAAAATATTAAAAATATTAAAATGCATTTCCATGAATTTATTAAAACTGTGAGTCTAATGAATATAATTACTAGGTATTATGTGTTTTTAAAATTTAAAAGACCTTCTATATCTATATTTTCATAGTAGCATTAGAGAATAATTCTGAAAGAAGAATATAGAAATGTTTAATTATATTAAAGACAGACATTTTGATCCATTATTGTTTCTGACTTACACAAGCTATTTACTGGCAAAATGGGTTCATTAAATTACTTGGAAATGGAATTAATGAAAAAGATTCAAATTATGCATCTGCCTTGGCAGAAGCAGTGCTATGTATGATCAGTTAAGAAATCTATCAGGACATGTGAGGAGAGTACTACCTATTTGCTGGCCTGATGCTAGGATTTTTAAAAGCCCCAATATTTCCAGACTTATTTACCTTGAGTAAAACTACATATATCCCGTTCTATATTTGAAATACTATTAAAATGTAGTACTTTAATTCGTCTCAACATTTTCACTTGCAATTTGGTGTTACACTGGCAAATATAGGAAAAAGGCTGATTCTAGTTCATTCTTTAGATCAAAAAATTATTAGCTTCAAATTCCACATGTGAAAAAACTAAAAATAACATATATTCTATTACCTCAGAAAAAGAATCAGACCTATTAAAATTATTAGGCATAAACTAAACACATGGTTGAAAAATATATTTTAGTTCTATGGATATTAATTCCAGGACAATTACTCAATACTTTCAGGAAAAGCAAACTAGACAGAAGCAGGGGGGAAAATATCTTGAACTGAATGTAAATCAATATATCTAAATATATGGGATTCAACTGAAGCAGTGTTTAGAGAGAAATTTATAGATTTAAACATCTGTGTTAAATAATCTAAGCTTCCACCTCAAGAAGCTAAAAAAGAAGAGCAAAGTAGGACAAAGAAAGGAAATAAGGTACAAGAAGTCAATAAAATAGAAAATAGAGAACAAGTAAAGATGCCTCTTTATAAAACAACAAAATTACTAAACTACTAGCTAGAGCTGCTAGACTGAGAAGAAAAAGAAGACACAAATTACCACTTCAGGCATAAAGGAGACAGCACTATAGTCAGGATCAACACTAAAAGTATACTAAGATTAACTGACCATATATAAGGATGTTTACTATTATTTTTGGGCTCTCTATTCCATTCCATTGATCTATGTGTCCATTTTCTTTTCAGTACCATATTGTTTTGAATATTATAGCTTTGTAGTATAGTTTGAAATCAGGGAGCATGATCCTTCACTTTTGCTCTTTCTCAAGACTGCTTTGAT